GGGAGCGGAGCAGCTGGGTGTTTGAAGCAGGAGAGTGAAGGATAGCAGAAAGCCTAAGTCATGCAGCACCAGGAGCAAGTGCAGAGAACAGACTTCCCTGGGCGAGGGGGGCAGTGGTGGAGCTTTGTCCAGGGAAATCAGAGCATGAGCTAGAGCCACAGACCAAAGGACGGTGGCAGCTCTGTGAGCGGGGCTGCACCGGCACAGAAACTCGAGGGGAGGCAGGATCCAGAAGACAGCCACTGGGGCTGCAGCCAGGGCACGTTTGGATGTGAAGTAGATCAGCACCTACAAAGGAACAACTGCAGGATGCAGTCTGAGATGAGATCAGGAATTTAGCATGTGACTGAGGATTTCTTTGATTACTCTTTGTCTTTTCTGGTGAGATTCCCTGTGAAATAGGTGTGGGTGGGCTCTGTTCAGTGTATCGCTTCAGGGCAAGTGCTACGCTCTTCAGAGTGATGCGATCCGTGTTAATAATTTGTGTATGAACCCATGCCCTGCAGGCTGTGTCGCACTTTCATACTCCTTTTAAAAAAATAGGCTATGTAGTCTAGGCATAAGGCAAGCTGCTGTCTGAAAAGTTCATTACCTCTTAATTATTTTTTTTAACAGATTCAAAAAGCTGCCTCGACTGCCTGCAGTGAGCTAGAAGGACGCAAAGGCACAATCTCCCAGTATTTCACGACCTTACACTGTCCCGTGTGCGATGAACTGACCCAGTATGGGATCTGTAATAAATGCAGAAGCCAGCCACAGCATGTGGCAGTGATTCTCAACCAAGAAATCCGAGAGCTGGAGCGTAAGCAAGAACAGCTGGTCAAGGTATGATTAAAGCTTTGTCAGATGTCTGTCAGCCAAAGACAGGGGCTGAAATTTCAAAGCAGCGTGTTACTGAATGCCCCCAACAGAAATGGGAAGTACAGTCCGGGTGTTAAACGTGTCCTAGCTTGTCTGCTGTTCCATTGCTGTTGAAGGCAGCATAGCAGCTGTTACTCTCCTTCACTGAAGGCAAAGGCAGGGACCAGAACAGAAGATGCTTTTCTCCTTTCCTTCTTTTTTGAAGAGTATCTTACATGGTTTGTAGGTGCCTTTTTATAATGACAGTGATGGAGAGTTGTAAAAAGTATGAAAGATTCACCTTTTTTGCATTAAAATAACTGATGATGTTCTAGTAATAAAAACGTTTGTCCCAGAAAATTTATTTATTTATATGTATAACATGGATGTGTTTTAGCTTGGGGGTTTTCTTGTTACCGTTTCTCTCGATAGGAATTTTCCAAGCTGTTTTCTTCCCTTGAGCTAGAAGTCAATTAAGAGGGTAGCTGACTGTGCTCACGAATATATTATAGCAAAGCACAATGCCTCCCCTTGCAGAAACATACGCATATCCTCACCCAATTTTTGTACTGCCATATTTTATAATTAATAAATATTTTTGTTAAAATTTATTTTTAGCACTAGCACGTGAACCGTTTTAAAGACTTGTCTGAATTGCGGGGATATAAATGTTCCCGTAGTCTAGGCATTGATTGAATAGGTTCCCGTGGGGCTCTGTTGCTAGAAAACCATTACAATTGACTATTCAGAAATATTGCATTTTTTTGTACGCCGTATTTTATAATTAATAAATATTTTTGTTAAAATTTATTTTTAGCACTAGCACGTGAACCGTTTTAAAGACTTGTCTGAATTGCAGGGATATAAATGTTCCCGTAGTCTAGGCATTGATTGAATAGGTTCCCGTGGGGCTCTGTTGCTAGAAAACCATTACAATTGACTATTCAGAAATATTGCATTACTAAGGTGCGGACTTCTGTTTCTTGCTGTGTTTTGTAATATTTGCTCTGATCTGCATTGTAAATGGCGGTAAAGGAAGGTGCTGCATGTTCTGCAGTTTTCTGGTGGTGCTCTGAACCTTTTACATTGCTTTTGTTCTGGAATAAATCAGGACTTGGCAGATTGGTCCAGCCCCACAGAAGGATCAGTGGGTTTGATCAGAACATTCTCTTGTCCCTGCAACATGCAACAGGTCGGCAAGGCCTGGGATCCCGTTCTAGTCAATGTTTGATGACTCAACCTCTCTCTAAGAGCATCTGTCTTATTTTAACATGAAGATGTAGATATCCTTCACAGCTTAAATTCTTGGCCATCCTAGATTATAAACATGCCGGAGCCAGCAGAAAAGTGAGATAATGCTGAATCGTACGTTATTTTAAAACGCACTTAAAAATTACGTGCCATAGATTAAGGCCATAGACTTCTCCCCTCTACACAAACTGAACTTAGAAAGCGTCTCGAGTACCGTTTGGTTTGGTCCCTTGCGTTCAAACCAGCCACAGCCTCTTTCAAAAGAACTAGGGTAGACTTATTTCTGAGGTTCTTCTTGTGGTTACAAATCTGGAACAAACGGTTTAAACCCTGTTCCTTTTGATCACGGTTGCAGGTCAGAGGACTGGTATCCTCTGAGGTGCCGCGTGTGGGACTTGGCCGAGAGGGGCTGCTCCTCTCCAGCTGTCGTCAGTTTGAGTTTCTGGTCTGCAGGGATTCAGTGCTGACACAGGTCTGGCTGAGAGGGTCGCTGGTGCCCAAATAATTTCAACATGGAAAGAAGGAAAAGAACTAATTTTAAAAAGCAAAGGATGCGATTTTGATTTGTTGTTCAAACTATGCAAACGGTAGGGTAACGTTGTGTAACGGTTTGATGTTACAAAGCACAAGTGTGGTTGGAAGCAATTTCTGAGTTTTTGGAAAAACCATTGGAGGTGGCAGATACTGGAAAGGATTAAAAATAAAACAGCCGAGCAGGGGCCTTTCGTTCTCTGAAGGAAAAACTTTGGAAAACCTGTGCCTGCTGCTATTTTATTCCATCGGGTATCTCATGTTAAAAGCACTTTCAAGCAGCGTTAACTACATTAACAGCTCCATGAACAAGGAGAGCAGTGGAACGTTAAAAGTACTTTCAAGCAGTGTTAACTACATTAACAAGTAGCTCCATGAACAAGGAGAGCAGTGGAACCTGCGTGCCCTGTGTATTTCTGTCTTGGGATTGATTAACTCTGATTGAAGCTTATCTTGAAACAGGAGTAGTTTATGAAGTCCCTTTCCTGTGTAGAGAGTAACTGCAGAACACCAGTTTTGTCTTTTTTCACCAGGAAACTTTTACACAGGCTAAGTTTATCTGAATATAACACACTGCCCCACTTAAATCCACTCAACTTATTTACCTTACTTTTCCAAGTGCCACCAGGTACGAGTAGAACTCAATTAGCAGGATTGAAAGCCAGGCTGTACAGTCAAGCAGTTGATCTCTGCCCAGCTGACGGTGGGTGATGCCTGCCGGCCAGGCACCAGCAGCAGAATGCGCAGTCTGGCAGCGGCAGGAGAGGCTGCAGCAGAGAAGGGAGCTGCTCTGGGCCCCTCTACGGTGGGGAAGAGCTTGGCGCTGGTAGGGCTGTGCCTGTTCTGCCGATAGAACGTTGAGGACTTAGTAGTCCCGACTGATGTATGCCTGGCTCGTGTTAAGTTTAAAATAATCTGCTTTGCTTTTTTACATGTAATCTAGATATGCAAGAACTGTACAGGCTGCTTTGATCGACAGATCCAGTGTGTCTCCCTCAACTGTCCAGTACTCTTCAAGCTGTCCAGAGTAAGCAGAGAACTGTCAAAGGCACCGTACCTTCGCCAGCTACTTGACCAGTTTTAAATGATCTGTGTTACAGGATTCCAGGTGCTATTTTTTTTTTCCTTCAGTGTTTACCACACTAAGACTATTGTGCATGGTGCTTTTTCAATTCTCATCTAGTCCAGGATTTCCATTTTAACTGCTGGGTTTATTATCTGAAGAATAATGAACGCTTATCCTAACTAAATTAAAAAAAAGAAATACATTTGTTGATCTATGAATAGCTCACTTTTTAAGATGTACAAATTTCTTCTTTCTTTCATGTTTCTAACATACTGTTTTATAATGCTGATGTTGAAATAGCTATGTGTAACATCTTGTAAATCCATTTCAAAGTAGAAGTCAGGTTTACTTCCTGGAGGAAGGAGCACTGAAAACCTCTTGAAACGATAAACCATTAGTGTGTGTTCTTGAACTGTCAGTATCAAGACGTGTTACTTATATATTATCCATTCACTTTATAATTTTGTCTGCGAAATATTTTGTAAATACACTTTTTTACTTTTCAAACAACTGAGTAAAATAATGTGCAATGACTTTTATACAGATAATTTTAAAGTTGGTTGGTATATCTCCTCCTAAGTTTTGCTTGATTCCAAGTAGATTGTTATTTTGATCAGACGGTGCAAGCAGTAGTATCATGTGTAGCATTTTGAAACATTATTTTCTAAAAATTGCTGTCTTGCTTTAGCTATTAATGGGGCATTGTGAGGAACTGTGCAAAGACATTTTTGTTACAAACCTGTGGGACTGTTGCAATACTTTAAATATAAAATTTTATTCCATTTTTGCTTGTTTTGTATAGACATTTCTATTGCTTCTAAATATGCTTAAAATATTTTCTTTCCTTATGTACTGTACAGTTAAATCTTATTTGCCACCATCTTGACAAAATGTGTATTTAGAATATTTGTATAACTGTATAAAATGGAAAAGGAATTATGTGGTCAGTGCATTGTTTTCTAAACTGGAAATCATTTTGTTTTAGAAGTTAATAATGGAAACCATATTAAAGTTGAATAAAATGATATGGTAAAAATTATGTGCCTTTTTTATATTTAACCTCAACTGCAGATACCTTCGTTTCCCTCGTTTGGCACACACGTGGTAATGTAAACAAGACTGCTCAAGTAAGAGTTAAGAGTCCACAATCCAGTTTCCAGCTTCAGCTTTGGGATCTAAAACCTCCTTATCAATTCTTGAGGCTTTCCCCAAACCAGAAGAGAAACACTTCCAGTTTTCCAGTAATCAAAACAGGAGTAAGTTTTAAATCCAGAAGTCCAGAGTAGCTTCGAAAAATAGAACAAAACTTTATTTACATCAAGGAACCTGAGTGCCTTTTCCAGTTACGAATTTATTACATTCAAGATACAAGTCAGTCTGTTAAAATTTCACATTATACAGTACAATGTAAACCCACAGCAAGCAGAATAAAAACTATTAAATAGATAATAGAACAGCCACAGGTCGCGATGCGCTTTTATGCAACGTAACAAAAAAAACCCAAACCCCATCAAGGCACAAAACTTTGCCTACTCTTGCATTCTACCATTGGTCACGTACAGAATGAAAGTGCAAACGCCAGGACTAACGTCTTAGCACTTGTGGTACAATCCAGCATTTGGCAGTGCTTCGGGGATAAATAAAAGTATTAAACAATGCTTAACTGCAAGAGGTTGCCTTTAACACTGGAGTCAATGGGCAAGTGCGTGCTCATCTTCAACTCAGTCCTGGCTTTATAGACAAAAACATGATTCTTAATAAATTCAGGTATCTAATCTACTGCATGGACCACAACTCTTGTCCTCAACAGAGAGATGACTGGTCTAGCGTAAGCAAGGCAATGGTAAAGTAATACAGTTTACGTCAAGTAATTTCAACCCATAACGTGTACGTTTGGAGCGTTTAAGCTTTCTGGAGGATCTGTAACTTAAAAGGCACTGTAAATAGATCCTCACTTTAACTGTATATGCCAGGAAGCAACTTACTTCGGAAGGAAATTTAAACATGTAAAAACTAACATTCATTGTCTAAAAACAAGCCTCGAGGAACACGAAAATCCAAGAACTAGGAAAGCTGCAGCTGTGAACATCAAGGCTGGCTGGAACCGCTGTGAGCTGGACTCATTGTTGGAAATGTCCTAGAGCTGTTTTCATCTTAAATTGCTTTAAACATTTCATTTTCATTAAAGGGCAGCCCCTGCTCTTAAAAGCATGCTTTCAGGGGATAAGGAGAACAAGTTCTGTAAGTATATTCCATTTCAAGTTTGAAGCCAGAATTAAGACACTGAAGGCTCTAAGCGCTCCCTAGGACAACTCAAAATTTAGACGTCATCCAGACACAGACCTCCTCGTATCAATCAGCCGTGACTCTACACGGTACTGCTCAAGATAAGATAACCCACTCTGTCTTCCTGCCACTGCTTTTTGGATCCTTTACCTCCTGTCAAAGGCTGCTCTTACCTTGGCATTCCAGGCCGTTGCTCCACTCCTACTACTCAGGCCTCCTGCTTCTAAGGGGGAAAATGGGGATGAATTCAAGAAGTGACTCGTGCAGGAATTAATACAGCCAGTAAAAAAAAAAAAAAAAAATCCTCATTCTGCACAGTATTTTTACATTTGTTGGGTCAGAAACACAAATAACTGTGTATATATAAGCAATAAGTAGCTAAGGTTCAAAGAGGTTACAGCGTATTTCCCACTGCAGCTTTAAATTCATTTTCTGGGGTTTTTTAGTAGTTGATTATGCAAGACGTGTAAACTATCCCTGAGAACAATCTTGCGTGCAGGACATTCTAATTTGGACTTTCATTCCAAAAATTAGCGGATGAATTGGGGGTTATTTAAAATCTTCCTGGTTGCCAGGTGGGTTTCTTAAACTGATTTTCTTCTGGCAACACAATCTCAGGTACGAGGAAACTTTTTCACATCGCCGTCAATTCCGGCAAAGCCTATGGAGTGCAGTTGCAGCGGGGGGCTGCCACAGAACCACTGCCCTATCTTTTGTTGTTGTTTGTCCTGCACCAAACCCAGTTTCTGCCAAAGGAAACCTGTGACCTCCCCGGGGGTCAGTTACCACTCCCCCCCCATCCACCAGCAGGATTTGTCCTTACCATCAGCTAACACCCCTACTTTCCACAGACACAAAGCAGCTGCTGTGGCATGCAGGAGGAAAAAGGGGAGAGGGACAGCTGAAGGAAGGCAGGCTTAATCTGCACTCACTTAAGTCACCACCTCTGCCGCGCCACTTCATTTGTTACCATGTGAAACTAACTAAACACGCAAGGCCATACAGACTTAACTCCTGTTGATCAAATGCTGTCACGTACCTAGAACAGGCTTTGGCCTGATATTTAAAAGCACTTATTTTAAGCAAAAAAGAGAACGGCAAGTGAAACAAGGCCGTATTTTAAAGTGCAGGTTCATGCATTGCGCTGGAAAAGGTGCCGCTGAAGCGCGCATACACACAAGGAAAAAAAGGAATCGGGTGAAAACACAATGGCATTTAAGTGCTGACAGCAGAGGGAGAGAGAGACCCTTTGACGTGGCAAGATGAAAAAAATTACACATTTTCACTAAAAGTTGATTCCTCCTTCTTACTAAGTTCTCAGAAGAGAGGAAAAAGCCACGAGGTTCTAGGCTGCACAGTCAGAGGACAAGAGAGGGAACAAAAACAGACCTGAAAACACACTGAACATTTAAGGTTCTGTGCTACGCTACGGCTAGAGCTCTTCTGTTAGTAAATTAAACTTCTCGGCAAGAAAATTCTCGTAACAGTGCAAAGTAAAAAACCCCAAACATGAGCACATTCTGATCACACAGCCTTAAAAGAAATACTTAACCTACAAATTTGGAGCTTCAAGTAGACAAATGGCAAGACTACTGTTCCAGAGTCAGGTTTTTGCCATTAGCTGCTGCTTTTTTCCCCTCTTACCGGGGAGGGCTCGCTGGCATGACTGGTCCTTCCCAGCTCTTCCTGCTTAGCAGCGATGAACCTACAAACCACTGCTGCTCCGCGAGGAAGAGCCTGCCTGTAAGTCAGCACCCAAAAGAAACAAAACCCAAATGGCACCGATCCAACTGGCCAGGGGCAAGTGATCGTACAGTACAACCTGAAAGGATTGTCTCATCAGTAATTCCCTCTCATTCTCAAATTTTCATTTTAACGCATCACGATGTTGAAGTCTTGGCACAGGAAGCCAGAAAAGTTGTTACAACCTTAATTTAAACTGCGTTAAAAATATCACAGCCCTATGTCAATACCATATATTAAGTAATCTGTTTATATATAATTTTATCACCTTCTTCATACATTTCTTGATTTCAGTGGTAGTGCAGTAATTAAAATCACAAGTACAATCCCAAGTACTTTAGACTATTTAGATTTGTCACCACTGTTCAACGAGGAAATCGGAGTTAAGCATTATAGCAGATTAATACGACCCATTTTGTCCCCCTTCCCATACACTGCTTTTAAATGACCCAAAGGCATGGTTCCACTCCTGAAAATTCATTTAAATTTTTTTCTCGTCTTAGTGACAGAAGCAGAAAATTAAATCCCTTGCCAACAGGCTATCCGATTTACAGCCGCTGGGTGTCACCTGAAATTTGACTTGATTTCCTGGTTTACGTCACACCACCTTTCAATGGGGTAGAAACGTTCTTCTTTTCATGAGATAAGAAAGCTCGGCCTCACAGATAACAGATTTCTCTCCTCTCTCGTGAAAACACCTTGTGACCGAGCAGCTCGGAACTGCACCCTCTACCCACCCCCAAAAAACTGAGTGGTCTGAGCGGTCCCCTTCTTTCCCCGTTAGTTCTTATTACAGCATACATGACTTAAAGGCACGCCTCACATTTAGAAAACGCCTCTTGTGTTTTAAGATTTTCAGTATAGTCTGTACGTTTTAGCACGTTGCCCCAGCCACATCGCGGTGGACTTCCCCACTCCGAGACACATCGCTGCAGACTGAAGATGAAAGAGGAGAAAGGGCCGGACAAACACAGAAATGAACACGCTGAGCTCTGCGCCACTATAAAAGGCTTCTCGAACCACTTTACAAGAACAGCTACAATTCAATTGCATTTCCTCTTTTAGGCTGACTAAAAGAAAGTCAGCCTTTACTTTAATCATTCTTCTCCCGGTCAACATTCACATTTTTTCTCCCAGGGGAGCCACCAGCGACCACTGGAGAATCGCGCAATACCTCGTCCAGATGGGGCTGGAGAGAGACTTTGGCTGGAGAGTCCCCGGGTATCTTACGGGAGGTCTCTATCACAGAGTTTCTCAGCGTGTCGTTCATTTCTATTACCTCAAAGTCTGCTTCGTTCCACTCTCCCGCATCCTCCTCCTCCTCTTCATCCTCATTAAGCCCCGAGTTTGACAACAAAGCTTTCCGGTCCTCGCTCTCGCTCATTTCTTTCAAGTGGCTCTCACCGGGAGAGTTGGCCAATTTGTACATCAGAGGGAAGAGAATAACTGTCATTGCCGAAGTCACCAAGGCAGTGTACATAACCACAGGAACGTGGTGAAACCTTCCTTGAAGATACCCCACCACGGCAGGAATGCACATCTCGCCCAGCGCGGCGCCGATCACAAACAGAGAAGCCGATTTTCCTTGCACGACCGTGTACTGTTCTATCCAGGAAATGCCGCTGGGAAAGATGGTGGCCATTGACGCTCCATACACAGCGGTTCCAACCCACAGCGAGGCTGGGTACCTCGCAAAGAAGGCCAAGCACGAAGAGGAGACAGCAGAGCCTACGATACTCAGCAGGATCATGGTGCCAGGGTACAAGCAAGCAGCACAGAATATTGCCACGCCTCTGCAAGCGGCAAACGCACCCCAGAAGACAGAATTCAAAGCGGCTGCTTCGTTTTCTTTCATCTCGGCAAAGACCTTTGCGTAAGTAAATATGTAAGAGCCGTAAGTGACCTCCGCCCCCACGTAGCAGAAGAAGAATATGAACAGGAGAATAATAAGGGCATAGTGGTATTTGGCAAACATGCGTTTCTGCAAAGAAGCCTTTGATTTGTCTCGAGCCGAGCTGCCCTTTGAATACAAAATAAAAAAGAAGAGAGAAACGAGCAGAAGATAGGTCCCTATGACAACATAGGACCACAAAAAATCCGCACCAAGATGGTGTTTCAGTGCTGACGCGGCTGATGCAGCCGGTGCTGTCGGCACAGACCTCGGGACAGACTGGTTTGTCTTTTCAGCTACTGGAAGGTCTTTAGATTCGGAGCCTCCCAAGGCCATTTTAGCCAGGATCGGAGCCACAAACGCACCGACAGCAAAACTGAAGTGTAAGGCCTGCATATGTGGCCCAGCCTCTGCCCCCCAGGTATTCAGTGCCAGTACGTTGCCACCTGCAGATCGGAGAGAGGAGGATTCAGTCATTTTAGTCTGAAACCAGGTACTGGGTAAAAAAACCAAACCAAACAAAACAAAACAAAGACACACCAAACCGTAACAGGTAAAAAAACCAAACCAAACCAAACAAAACAAAGACACACCAAACCGTAACCTAATTAATTCAATTTGCAATACTACCAGGTTTAGCAAATACAATGTGCAAAATTGAAGTTAACTGAAATTCTGCCTGTAAGCACCTTAAGCCCACCTGATTACTTGAGCTTCAGGAAGGTATTCACAGCAGTCAAAATGAAGAGCCACACGCTGGCTTAATCCAGCAACCATGGCTGTACTTAATTACCCTACTTGACAATTTGCAGCATTTTTCAGCCTTTTTGCAAAAGAGCAAATTTAACTGCTTCTCATTTCTCTAAGTTGTAAAAGCAACAACGCACAATGCTAAGAATCAGAGGCCCCATTAAACAACATCCCAGCACAAGAATCGCTTACTGCTGATGGGCTGGGACTACCCCAACTGCGTTCAAATGACTTTCCAGAAGCAGAAAGGTTTACAATAATACCGCTGCAGAGACCAAACTACGACATCCTCAGACCAACAATAATGCTAGAAAATAAGACCTCAGAGAGACATTTTTAGGTAGTCCCCGAGAAGAACGCAGGAAAATAAGAACAGTAACTAAATTCCTGTGCTACAGTACAGCAACCCTTGTCATGCAGCACTAACACTCTTCCAAATTAATTCAGTTACACGCTACTGCCTTGCTCTTAGTTTCTCCTGTTGGGAAGCCTCCCTGCCTCAAAGGTCTGATTTCCAAGCAGCACGCCCACCCACTGGAGGCATTTTTACAGTAAGCCGACAGGATTTTCCCATACGAAGAATTTTTAAACCAAGTGCCATGTATAATGATCCTACCAGAGGCAACAAATACACCTCTGCACTCAGGTTATTTAGCATAACCTGTGCCATGCAAAACCATCTTTTTCACTACTGGATCCTGTATCTCGCCCTCTTCAGTGTTAACAGAGCTCGCTCAAGCTCCGCAGAATTAGGGCAGATGGTTCACGTGTGCAGCCATCACTCCTCTGTGTTGCCTACCAGCCAAGCCACCGAAACCAGGCCCCGGCTGGGATGCTTCCAGAGCTGTCTGGATAGCTAGGCTAATTTGTTAGCCAGCTCTTACTCAGAAATAAGCCTGCCCCAAAGCTGGTCGACCAGATCCAGTCGTACCTTGCTGGCTAGTAAGTAACCACAGGCTCCCTCAGTAAGCCAGGAAAGTCGGCACACTGCTGGCACGTCACTGGAGAGGTGCCAGGTGAGTGGCCGCCTGCTGCGGCTTCACCACCACCTTCTACAGCAACGCCAGAACACTCCACCGCTGACGTACTTTTGGTTGTTTCCTGGTCCCCATCTGCAAGTATGCCAGCGTTACCCACTCATCTCTAAGTGTGCTTAGGTCTCTTGCCGTGGCCTCGCCTCCTGATCCAAACTGCCTGCTGCAGCCAGCCATCACTAACTCACCCTTTCTAAGCCATGCCCAATGAACTCATTTCTGTGGGAATTTCTTTTTCATACCTCTGGTATAACCGACCTTTCCAACCGCACCTGCAGACATTTGCTCTGCAACTTCACCGGTACATCTTCCTCCAATAAGGAGCCTCTACTAAGAAAATTGGTTTTCAACAGGTTTCCAGCAAAAGTGTTTTTTCCAGGCCGCTTGCAGTATGCACATGCCACAGACTTCCAATTTGGGGCATTCCCAAACACCTAAGCGAGGCTGGCCAAGGCCAGCAAATATTCCTTAATTCAGGGAGACGGATGACGTGGTGCTGTGAGCGAGCGAGCTATGGCAGTAAACGTCTGCTGTGACTCCCCAAACACCACCGGGCCAGGTTTAGGTGGCCAACAATCTAACACAGCAACCGTGAGAATCTCTCTCTCAAACACCAGGGCTTGCCCAGGACTAACTTAGTTTCATCTGGCGCTAACGAACGGTAACCCAACTAGCTTCCTGTAGATGAGTAATTTAAAGAAAACACTGTTTAAAGAGCGCGTGACACTTTCTTTACATCTGTAATTGCCCACTGAAATGCGTATTGATCTTCTCCAGGAAGCAAGGGATACCCAGCTCCCCAGGCCCCTTAAGGAAGGTCTGTTACAGAGAGAGACACAAACACTGGAAGTCTCAGGACCAGAATAATCCAAGAATCCTGGCCAGGTAAAACAGCTCCCCTCTTTTCATTCAAGACGTGTCAAATGAAATACCAGCAACGGTTTTGGGGAGTTTGAGGTTTCCAGTTAGTTCGGTGAAGGAACTATCGGATCACGTGGTCCCTTACCTGTGTCTAGAATTCCCATGGAAGCTCCAATAACTGACATCAAGACAGTTAACAGCAGGGATTTCTTACACCAGGGTATCCCATAAAGACCAACCGTTGTTCCAAACATGGATAATGCTGGAAAGGTTAAAAAACAAAACAAAAAACCCACACGCTACAGTTTCCATTTGAAGTACAAAACATACAGAAGACCAAGAAATACAAATACATTCATAATTATTAAAGTTACAGATAATCCTAACAGGTGATGTAACCTCACTACCCCAATTCACGATTAGCAGAAGCAGCTAGAAAGTTCAACAGACTCGTTTTTCACTTGGAAAAAAGGAATTTCATCAGAATATAAACACTACATGAAAAACCTGTTTTGCTAAAGCTTTATTTGCAAAGGGAGTAGCATCTGCTGCTAGAACACTAAGTCGTCTTCTGAAACTTTTGATTTAGAAGTGCTATTTCAGTATCTTCTGCAAACTTCTGATCTAGAAATGTTACTTTACCACAAAAGAAGTAGAATGTGGTTTTGAACAGTATGAAGTTTTTCCTCCGAGAACTAGAGCATTAAATTTGGCTCCATTTTAAAAGAACCCAAATCACTAAACTCTTAAAATCCTATAAAGTGATTGCACCTCAGCCAACAAGCGACGTCCATATAAAAATGCTGACTTTCATTTATATTCTGTTATCACACGAGGGCTGTATTCCAAGGCATTTCTGGAGTTTTAAGAGACGTAACGACAAAATTTCTCATCATAAATTTAGCAGCAGTTCATTAACACTATTAGTTTTACTATTATTAACCGCACTTACAACATGCCATTTCAAAAAGTACTTTTTAGCAGATAGAAATTATTTTTATTACAATTTGGGAGAAAGTTCAGCAGTTAAATTCTATGCTTATAATCACCTTCATAATAAAAAAATCTGCAATTAATATCTTGAATAAACAGTATTAGGTTTTGAGAAAGCTTGTACCAGTTCAGACGTCTCTCTTATTTTTCCAGTCAATGCTTGATCACAGGTGGGGCAGATGCTTAAAGATTAATGGGGATTGATGTAATTAAGAATTTAGGTTAATTCCAAACAAAAACAAAAACAATGGAAAAAATAAATATCCAGAACCCTACAGCCCTAGCGAGATACTTGGAATACATGCCTCAGAATATTTTTGAAGGCTAGTATGCTGAGCTGCATAGAGAAGCTAAAGATGGGGTGTATTAAGTACAGCTTCTCAGATGGCAGATGCCCCACTCAGAGCTGAAAAGTAACTTCTCAGCAAGTTCTCAGCTGTCTACTTCAGCTCTTCACCTGAAGATCGGTACGTGAAAGCTTCCTTGACAAAGACAGATTATGTCGTCAATTTTTTCTCTGTACAGTAAGCAGAGTTTCAGCAGTTGAAAGATGGGAGGTAAAACTACACGAGCCAAAATCTCTTACAGGCAGCCCTCAGATGACAGAAATGAGAGAAGATTCAGTAGTTCAAATTGTGGTTTTGCCATAAGCGCTACCAAACTGGAAAGGATTAGGAGATGAATCATTTTCCAAGCATTGTTGACAGACCGCTATCCTGTGTGATACATCAGGAAAATAAGTAAATACTAAACCATTTCAAGTTAATACTTCCACAGGTGTATGAATTCCATTACGGAAGGTAAAGTCTCCAATGTCAGACACAGCCAACTCTGACCTTGTCAGATGTACAAGGAGACTAAAGGAAACCCACTTTACAGGTGGTCTGGAGGAGAGGAATAAAGAACAGGGCGGAGACCAAATAAAGACATCTTAGAACAAGAGCAAATACGAGGAACCGGTCCAGGGAGGTGAAGACAAGAAGAGGGATAAAAAAGGGAGGAGAGACAGACAGACATTATATGACATGATTGCTCCCGGTAACAGGAGATAGGCATACAGGGATAAGAAGAGACTTGGTTCAAATGCTAGCAATGGAAAATGGACCTTCTCATATTCTCAGAACCAACCCCGTGATTACAGCGCAGTTTTCAGGGGAGGCACAGTTCTGTTTGAACCTCCCCAAGTGCAGGTATGGGAAGAAGGAAAAGAGCAAGCCCCGGCATCTGGTTTAGTCCCTAACTTACAGCACGAAGGCACACGCTGCCATTACTGCAGTTGAAAGAAGGGCTTCTGCTATTTTAGGTGTGCTCCAAGAATCTCTACCTGAACGAGAACCCTACGACGACTCTAAAAGGAGCACCGCATTTCTGGATGCTGAGCGTGGCTCTTGGTGACCTGACGGCCGAGCAGCCCTGCTCTGCCGGGACAAAGCCAGTCCCGTGCTCCTACAGGAGAGAGTTTCCACGTGTCCAGAAAACTGTTAAGATCACAAACTGTGGTTCCTATAGAGTTTAAGCATTTTCATAGCTAGGCCGCAACTGAGCAGCAACTTTCTACCATCACAGGTGGTATTCAATGTTTTTCCACTTTAAGTAAGTTCTAATTTGATTAAGGCCTCCCAGTCAAAATCTCAGTACTTTTGCCTGGTATGTGAAAATGAACGCTTCTGCCAAGCTTTAAGAAAGGGAAGGGTTTTACGAAGCTCTCCCCGCAGAAGCATCCCTCAGCATGACTGCAGGTTTCTGCTGTGTGCAAATGAAAGCCAAAACACAGCTTCCCCTGGTTTGCTTATGTGTTTCAGAGAGTGACGTTATAGAAGCCTATATGTTCCAAGCAGATCTATACTAAGCATATGACTTGATACGAAGGGGGGGGGGGGATCCAGCTGTGCTTTTTTTGTCTGCACCAAAAGCACCTTTTGGTCGATTCAAACAGGTTTTGTAAGTTCAAAACCAGTTACTGCTATTAATATGCCCAGCGAGCCCAACCACTTGGAAATAATGCTGCACAGCAGCAATACCCTGACACACGCGGTGTCACAAAACGAACATAATATCGCGACAGCCAAAAGTGC